CACGCTAACGGCATCAACTGACTGCCGTTAGGAATATTTTGTTATTCCTAACGGTAACCGTCAACGGCGTCAAGAATACTCCCTTTTCATACTGGGAATTTTTCAAATCGTCCTATCTTCTTCGTTTTTCAACCAAATTTCACGAAATTGGTACCAAAATGAAGCTTACAACGAGAGGAACACAATCATACCACTTTCAAGTGCTAAAAACCACAAAATCTCACCTGGAAAATCACCCCAACTCCGGCCAACTTCGAAACTCGTGATCCCGACGTTCAAAACCTTTAAACGAACCACCCCGAGCCTCCTAGGGACCCCACCAAGCTCCCTACAAGCTTGAAATTCCTAAAACGTGAGAAATTACGTGTGCATGAACAGTATCAAAATCGGGCATCGTGAGTTCAATGTGGAAACGAAGGTATTCTCACCTGAAAAAGGTATGGTTGGACTCCTACAAGCCTCACGAGCATGAGTATGTGCTTGGTTTCCTCGATCTGTGAAGGTTCGATGGGTTTGTAGGTGTGTCCGTACGTTTCAAGGAAAATGGGAAGGAATGGGGCTCGGGACAGGGTGCAGGAATATGGAGGAAAGGTTGTGGAGTGTGGGAAAATGTGTGTGGCTCAAAACATGCCAACAAAACCCAAAACATAACACAAAACGTAAAGAAATCGAACTTGGGGGTAAAATAGTCTTTTCACACGTACGTTTCAACATTCTCGGGACGGGCTGTCACAAAAATTTAAACAAATCTCTTTCATCATCCAATTTTTTTTTTTTTAATCAAATCATCCAATATCTTTGACTATATTGATACATTGAGGCAAACGAGCCAATTCTTAAGAAATTAAGCCTAATTAAAAAAGGTGGATGTAAATAGTAATTTGACAATCAAGCGATTTCCTAGTGGTTAAGTTGTCAACCATAATTTTAAAAGGTTCATGTGATGTGAATCAAGATTAACGAAAACTTGATGGACGTATATAATGGAAATTTGCCAATTGAAAATTGGTACTCCCACCAAATGCAAATGGAACTGTGGTATAATTATGTATGGTTGCTATAGCTGCACCATAAATCATTCCATTTGACTCGTTCTAATTGTGTATCCAAGATCCAGGGGCACGTGATTCTATTTGTATTTCCATCTGTTAAAGAAAAAACAAAAGAGACTTTGGATCCGGTTCCTAGCTATGAATATTTTTTGACTGAAACCTTATTGGTTTTCAATTTTTGATCGAAGTCCCTGAAATTAATGTGATAATTTATTTCTAGGTATGTTACTATATTTTTTAAATTAAAAATTGAAATTTATAGTTGTTTATATTAATAAGATTTTAAATAAAAAACCATAATTTATGGGATTAAAAATATTAAAATATAAATATACTATTGTGTGTGTATATATATAAACATGGGTACATTCATCAAAATTAACCAAAAAATTATTATGCCAAAACATGGGTACATTATTCAAAATCACAAAAAAATAAAATAAAATAAAATTAGGCTTAGTAACATTACTAAATTTCTTCGATTAAACTCAACATAGATATATTCTCAAATAAAATAAAAAAGAATGTACCCATATAAGTTTAAAAATGGATTAGAAAAAAATTGAAAAGATTTTATATATATAAAAAAAAGGGTACATTTTACATATAACAAATTGGTATATTTAAGAATGAGTACATTTTAAGATTAAAAATTTGAAGAAATTACATGAATGGGGTACATATGAGATTAAAAAATTTAAAACATTTTTTCAAAAAAGCTAATGTGTCACATCTTGGCCCAGGCCCCCACTACAACCCGGGCTCGACTCCACCGTAGCACGATATTGTCCCATTTGGGCCCCGACCACGCTCTCATGGTTTTGTTTCTAAGAACTCACACGAGAACTTCCCGATGAGTCACGCATCATAGGATTGGTCTCACGCGCTACTCGCTTAATTTCGGAGTTCTGATGGAATCTGAAGCCAGTGAGCTCCCAAAAGGCCTCGTGTTAGGTAGATATGAGAATATACATATAAGACTTACAGGATCCACTCCTCTAGGCAAAGTGGGATGTTACATAATGGGTACAAACTTATTCTAATTTCTTAATTTATTTTGGAAATGTTTTGAATTGAAAATTAGTTAGGAGTTTAATAAAGGTGTGAGTATTAAAATTCTAAATCAATTATTAATTTTTATTTAAAAAAATATGTAACTGACATGTAAATTCATTATTACATTAATGTAGAGACTTGGATCAAAATCTGAAAACTAATAAGGTTTCAGTCAATGAACATTAATAACTAAGGACCAAATACTAATTTTTCCAAAAAACAAAAAAAAAAGGGTAACATATTGTCCGAATCCAACTTTCCATCCAAATTCCCTCCAATGTGGACATTGATTATAATACTTACATGTATTTAATACTGCTGAGTATGATAGTACTTTTAAATGGATTCTTAACGAATGATACTTTCCTTAATTGTAAAATTAGACAAATCACTCTCAAGCTTGTAAATGGATTCTTAATGCTAGACACATTATTGAAAAAGGTTGTAGGTGGTTAGTGGGAGATGGTAAGAGTATTCTCTTCTGGACTCGTAATTGGGTTTTTCCTTTCCCTCTCATTAATCTTTTACAGGATGAACAAAATTAACAGCTTGGATTTGCGTATGAAAGTTAGTAATTTCGTTAATAACAACTGCTGGGATAAAGTAGCTTTCTCTAATTTGCTTGATCATGATACAGCCAATTAAATCTGTAGTATTCCGCTGCCCATTGCTCAACAAGAAGACTCCTTGTTTTGGGGTCTTAATGCCAACGGTAAATTCACTTTTAAATCTGCAACTTGGATTCGAAATAATAACATTACTCATGGTCTAAACTCTGAGCTGTTGAAAAAAATGTGGAATCTCAACATTCCTAATAAAGTTAAGTTGTTTAGTTGGTTGCTAATTCTTGGGAGAGTACAAACTAGAGACAGACTCAAAGGTATCAATCATTTAAGGGTAAATTACATTTTACCCTTTAGGTTTGAGATCGATTTTAATTCCTTACAACATCTTTAAAACATTTCACTTTCATACCTCACGTACTATTTTATTTCAATATAATACATCCATTACATTTTCCATCCATTGATCCATTAAGAGCTGACGTGGCAGCCACATTTTGTACTGATGTGGCTGCCACGCGACAAAAATAATAATTTTTTATACATTAAAAATATTATAATATTAACCCTATTTTAAAAATAAATAAAATAAAATAAAACCCAAACTCGTAAATCCTTCCCCGCAACCCCACATCCCACCCCCACCCCTACCCATCGCTTCCTTCCCATCCGTCCATCCCCTCCACCCCTCCGTCCATCCCCTCCACCCCTCCATCCCCTCCACCCGAGCCCTCAGCACAGGTCCCACCTCGACCTCTCTCTCTCCCTCCTTTTCTCTCTTCTGTAAAATGTGGAATTTGAGATTTGGGTGTGGTTTTTGAGGTCTAGTGTTTGAGATCTTGAAGGGTGGAAAAACGACGCTGAATCATTACGCCGTGGACGAAGCAACTCACACGGTGTTTTACGAGACATGGCGTCACATTACGAGGCCCTACACTCCCAATTACCCTCCTCAGCAAGTTCTTAATGTTCTTGAATTTCAAGTTAATCAACCCCATGTTTTGCTTAATCACTCAATTACCCAACTTCGACGACCTCTTCCTCTTCAACCCTTTCAACCTCGACCCCTCCTGCCTCCCCTCCCCCAACCTCCTGCCATGTTTCTCGAGTCTGACAACTCCTCGGTGGGCCAACCACCTAACCCCTTCTCCTCGACCCCCAAACCCATCGCTTCCTCCGGCTCCACCGCCACTAGTCGTCGCATTGAGCCTCGTGGATCGTCGTGGTGGGGTTATGCCTTGAACTCCATCACTTGGTCCAAATCCTTAAACGTAGAAAGTTCCGTTCGTTGTGGTTTCCAAATTTCTAGTCATTGTACTTTTCTTTTACGTTTATTCAAATAACTTTATAAAAAAAAATTCTTGGAATAAGAACGTATGAAAAATCTACGAATGAACGAAAAATGAGAAACTTTGAATGCGAGAGTCTTCTTCGAGTATGTGAATCAAGGCTTTCAATGAAAGCACCAATTTGTGGATGCAAATTTTTGCCGTCTTCCCATTTGACGAAAATGCACCTGCAAAATAATAGCACCTAAGATTAAGACCAAAAGCCTCACGCACCCATGATGATTTTTTTTTTGGAGGGGGGTGGCTTTGGCTGAAGAATCTTTAATGCCAAAGTTAGAATTCTGAAAATAATGTGTTTAGAAGTTTGTGGGTAGCAAATGGCTTAGCTCTTTAGTGGTATAATATGGCTATTTAAGGGAAGTGATGACAGAGATTTGAATAAATACCATTTTGATCACCTTTGACTCTTCCTTGATTGAGTCGTTATTGTCTGTTGCATGTGCGCGAGAATCCCAGTGTGCCTTGCGAGTAATTTTGTCTATTTCACCCAAAAGTCCACGTGTCACCTCTATAATTTTCTTGATTATTTTTGGCTCTATAAGCAAGTTCGTCAGATCTACAGAAAAATAGTAACAATAAGTATAGGGATGCTACTACATCTTGGTTGGTGGGTAATGGGTACAAATAAACTAGATTTCATAGCCTTCTTGACTAGAGATTTTTTAGTGTACTCATAACACAAGTTGGTACACAGTTTGTCATAGTACAAGTAAAGGAGCATTGAAAAATATTCTCTCCTCAATTTTACTATGACACGTGATATAATGGTTTGTATTCCGTGTACATGAAACAATCACGTGGTATACCAACTTGTGTTACAGGTACATGGAAAAATGTCTCACTGTTGACTAGGGATTTACATGCAAGTGTTTTATTGAAGTTGATATATGAATTGGTAAGTATTGAAAAGCTTAGGACCAACTTGGCAATTGCTTAAAACTTAAGGGATTTGAAAGTAGTAGTCAAAAAGAGAAATTAGACGTGGCAAAGGGACAAACAGAATCAGACTAACGTTATCTTATCTCATGCATGCTAGATTTTGTTGGCGAGTCTAAAACCTCAAGACTCTGAACTCACTCTCCTTGACCTGAAGCCTTAACTCCCACCGCAACCGCAACCACAACCGGCAGATTAGAGAGGTCGGTCTCTCGTTTTTGGTTTTTCTTCTGACTTTCGGAGATTCTTCTGCTATATTTTTTCTTCTGACTTTCAGAGATTCTTCTGCTATATTTGTTGTAAACTATTTGCTTAGAAAATATTTGACTGCATTTTTTCATTGTAAATGGGTGAATGATCTTCCACTTCAGCTGTACTGCTATGCGCACGCAAGTGAAAAGGCTTCAATCATTCAATGGGCTTTCTGTGATTAGTGTCTTTGTATGATCAGGTTGGTTGGTTCTTGGATGTGTATTTGTAGATTAATACTAATCTGATGACTAAATTAGTTTGTTCACTACTGTTGGCTTACCCCTAATCCCTAAGCATCTCTCTTGGACAGGGTCATGGCAACAACATTCTGTAATCTTCCCACGGGGCCTGGTCTCACAAAATTGAAAGACTACCGTGTCTCTAAAAGGCGAGTTCCCGGCCTTATTTTCCATTGCTAAGTTGTGACTGAATTATTTTCCTCTTTGTTTTAGATTAGATCTAATATCGCTAGAATAAAATCAAATCATCGTAAATCGATGAAACTTCCCGAGAATCTCTGCATAATTGTACTGACATTTCTTATATCTCAGACCTTATCGAGGCTTCGCAACATTGTCTTGTTTCTCCTGTAATGCTCGAAATGTTTTCCTTAGAAGAGAGGTAGAGGCCAGGCGGCAGTGGCGACATCGTGGACAGGCTTTTGTCAACAATAAGTCAGACTATTATTCTAACACCACCATTCACCAAGAAGAGGATAAGGAAGAAGCGGATATTTCTAAAGCAACCTTGACATGGAGGGCGATCAAGTTACCAATATACTCCGTTGCTTTGATTCCTCTCACGGTGAGTTTTTCAGGCGATGCATACATCTCTCCGTTTCTCCTAACATCATATTAAGGTTTCAATTTTCTATGTATTTGTACATATATGGTTGTCAAGTCCGCAACTGTTGGAAATCCAGCTTCCGTTCTCTGTCTGCAGTATAATGGATTTGGACTATACACACAGCGGAAGAAACATAAACATGTTGAATGTATGTAGTAGCGGTGTTTTGGGGGAAGCGTTGCATTTATAAAGCATAAGACTACATAACTAAAATAACTTTGGATATGTGCATCCCGAAAACTCCACAGAGCTCCTACACTATACTTGAGAACTCGCGTTTATGTAACTACTATTTTTATATGACAGAGACATTCAGTGAGGGCACGTACATGAGATTCTGTAGAATTTTGTTCAGGTTACAATTTTGACAGGTTTAAATTGTATATATTCCAGTTGTCTTCTCTGTAATTTTTATCCTCCTTTGGATTTTGAAGTAGTACACTACGCAGAGTGCTTCTAGCATATCTCTTCCTCTCTTAAATTAGTTACCGATATACTCTGTGCTTTTAATACAATGCAGTCATTTCTATTACACCATTGTCTCTCATCACTATGCTTGAAATGATATACACTTCCCCGCCTCTAACTATCTCGCTTCACCATGTCTTGCTTTCTTAAGCAGGTAGGTAGCGCAGCTGCTTATTTGCAGACAGGCATGTTCTCAGCTCAGCGTTATTCTATTCTTTTGATTTCGTCGGTTCTTATCATCACATGGCTCAACTTAAGGTACACATCGTAATAATTTCCGGAGTGCATGCGTTTGGCTTTTAGATATGTGTTAACTCCTTTCTTCACTTCTGCACCGTTAACATTCATATTCGTTCATCAATTTGCAGCAACGATGTATACGATTTTGATACAGGAGCAGACATAAATAAGAAAGAATCAGTTGTAAATCTGGTGGGCAGGTAAGGTTTATTCTTCTTCTTTATTGTATGTTAATGAATTTAGTGTGCCTGCGCTTTCCTGCAATCTTGTGTCGTTGTTATGTCCAGTATTAATTTCCGATTTTGTTTTGTAATATGCTTGGCAAGCCGTACAGGCACTCTTGTTTCTGCATACTTGCTACTTGTTCTTGGCTTCTTGGGGCTTGCTTGGGTATCTGTTAAGGCAGGAATGTGCGTGCAATATTATTACTCGGTTGTGCAGTCATTTGTGGTTACATATATCAGGTAAGTAGAATGCTGCATATGAGACCAAGTAAATTAATCTGAAAACAAATCTGTATCTTTGATGATCTTCTTTCGCAAATGAAAATTCGAGTCACATCTTATGAAATTAACAATTTTATAAATGGGGGTAAGCATTAGCTGAATTTTTGAAGCATGTTTCCGATGTGAATTTTCTAAGCATGTTTCATATCTGTGCATGGGAAGCAACATGTTTTTATATCTGCTCTACTGCTGGGTTGCAGTGTCCACCATTTCGGTTAAGTTACAAGGGATTGGGAGAGCCATTGTGTTTTGCAGCATTTGGTCCATTCGCTACCACCGGCTTTTATTTATTGCAGGGCAGCACAAGGTTAACTAACTTCGATAATGTCATGGATGTTGATTTAATTTTTTCTTGTCTTTGATACCCTAGTTAATATTGCTTGTCTTGACAGGGAAGTGATCCATCTTCCTTTCACCGGTTCAATTCTCTCCGTATCACTCCTTGTTGGCATTACAACGGCCTTGATCCTCTTCTGTAGTCACTTTCATCAGGTAGTTGTCGTTTCCTATGTTGAGAAATTTTGAGCTCTCCAGCTGGTTTATATCATGACAGTGTGTCAAAACTCACACGAATGTCATGCAACTCAGATCGAAGGAGACCGGGCTGTAGGAAAAATATCCCCTCTGGTATATACACTTAACTGAGCTCTGATATGTTTAAACTTGAAACCTTAACGAGAACCACTTACCGTTGATCTGTTTATTTGTATGTCTATCGGTATACAGGTTAGGCTTGGCACCGAAAGAGGATCAGGGGTAGTGAAATGGGCAGTAACAGGACTATATGTTCTTACTTTCACGTTCGGTTTGAGCAGCGCTCTTCCTTTTACTTGTCTCGTAAGTTATATCTAATTGGTGAAGTATAAATGTGCCTAGTAGCAAGGTTCTATCCTACATTTATCAGTCTGAGTTTGATCGTGGCTTCTTTCAGTTTCTCTGTTGCTTGACCTTACCAATTGCAAGACTGGTGGTTAGCTATGTTGAAGAAAACCACAATGTGAGTACGCAGCTTGCGTGGAACGCAGGATGCCTTAATTTCAAGATTCTCTTGGTTCTGTTGTTACTGTTATGAGTGATTCTACTGAAATTTGGCCCAGAGTGTCGTTCCTGTCGCTTCACTTATATGGTGTAGTGACAGGAACGACAACATCTGCTCATTTTATTCCGAGTGTTGCGGATTTTGCTTATAAGAAATTCCTTTTTCTTACAGGACAAGCAGAAGATATTCATGGCGAAGTACTACTGTGTGAGATTGCATTCTTTGTTTGGAACTGCATTGGCTGCTGGACTCGTTATGTCGAGAATGTTCCCTAAACTTAGCCTTTCCTCAGCGTTTGGATTGTCATGAAGTTTTGCAATCGCAGAGTCTGTTGTGTACGTACGAATATGCTTTAGTTTGTTGAGTGGCAGATCTAGAATAACATGGTCTTTGGGAAAACAAGCATGTTTTTCCTCACGACAGATAATTACACTAAATTTATCTGAATTACGAGGGGAGAATCATTTTTTAATCTTACTATGAGTTGGTTGTTAGGAAGAGATTCTTAATTCAATCAGAATAGTGGCCGAATAGTGGAACGAAAGCATTACGAGAAAGATATACCATTTTCAAATCGTCCTGCAAAGATGGACATTATCAATCATTTTAGTGGGGAGGGAAAAGGATGCTTTGGCCAACGTGACTATGTGGGGGAATAAATCACACATTGACAAAAGAGTGGACTCTTTGCATGAGTTTATAAGTAGTTGGGATACTCCATATTACCAATTGGTTTTGAGGTAGAATCTCAATTTATTCATAGTATTAAAGCAGTTTGTCACATCTATGAAGCTTAACGGCCACACATGCTCCACACTACCTTATTTGATTATTCACATGTTTGGCTTAAAAATTCATCACATGAGTTGGCGTGGTAATAATGAACCCTACATTGATGGGAAACCATATTGCCAATTGTTTTATGGTAGAACTCAACTTTCTTCACCCCTTGTTTTTTTACACCATGATATATTTACACCAAAGGGTGGGTGAATAAATTAGTACCAAACTCACTATTTACGAGATTTAAACAAAAAACCTCTCTCTTACAAGTGAACAAAAACACCACTATATCGTAAAGCTCAAAAGCTTGCATAAAAGCTCAAAATCTTACATAAACTTATATCACCACATGGCGTCCGGAAAACTTACCAAGTGAGAGCTTTCATACTCAAGAATCGATAAAAAAAAAAAAAAAAAATCAATTGATTATCTTTCAATTAGTTGGACCGTAGGTGCGATGATTTACTTCACAAGCAAGGTCTTGGGTTCCAAGATGGCCCAACACAGATTCGGTTGCGCCATACATACAAAAAAGTATAAAATAATGATGTATTTGGGTCTACCAAATACGGTGCTGCAAAAACTCTAACCACTCAGACAAGGCTCATTTCCACAGCAGATTTCTTAAATTCAAAATAAACGTCTACGTTTAACTCGACTCAAGTTCAAATTGCAGCTAGGATTATAAAACTACATTACTCAGGAAAATAAATAGTCCATCAACTGCATGTCAACACCAAAATCAGCATGAAGTTGTGATTCTTGTGAGCCCTAAGCATCCAGAAATGATGACACAAAGTGGGGAGGGCACTAGAACTATTACAAAATGCTATTCTAAAATCTCCCTCTGCCCCTGAAGCCACCACGGTTACCACCCCTCGGAGGACCCCTTCCCCTCGTAAAACCCCCTCCCCTTGGAAAACCCCTTCCCCTTGGAGCACCCCTTCCACGGCCTCCACCTCGAGAAAATGCTGGCTTCTGTCCCCTGCAGGAAAACCATCCATACAAGTGTCACTCGCAAGAATTGACAACGAGAATAATATGACAATTACTTCGGATGAACAATCGAAGACCTTTCTAACACTGCTAAAAACAGATTACCACACAAAACCATGTTCACTGGCAGACCCAAAAACAAAATAAAAAGCTATACATATACAACTCAAAATAACAATGAAGCAAAGGAATTGTCACTCAACACAGTACAACAAAGGAATGAATGAATATGACTAACAGTTACCAAAAAATTATCAGAGCCAAGGATCAGCCATAAAATTAGCTCATGTGTTAACTGAATGACATAGTTAAGCCCATCGACGAGACCATTTCCAAGAGAACTTTCCGACATTGCTTTTGTCAAATAAAAAAAAACAGAGTTCAAAATAAGCCTTGTGAACGATCATACAATGATCTTGAAAGTTCAAGTGTTTGAATAAAAAAGTTCCATCAGCCAACTCCTGTTCTTATCAAACATAACAGTTGAAGATAAGCCAAAGAATAAAGAGCGATTGAGAGCCTCCCCGAGAAACCAATGGGATATCTATTATCTATAATAAGTAGAATTTGGTCTGGCAATGTGACCAAAATTAAGCTAGACTGATCAGATTTTCGCTTGTCCTAGCTTGGAAACAAAGCTTGACATCAAGTTTGCAGTATAGAAGACTGAGCTTGTCATCCTAGTAACACTAAGAGTTTATGCTGCCACACTAAAAAATAACTTGGGACACTAACGTCTTTACAATAGCCCCCTTCCAAGAAAAAAGAGGTCATGAAGTAACACGGAATGATATAGACTCTTTGCAGTTGTTCATTGGAAAGCATGTGTTGTTTAATTAAATTAAGGAATGTGGAATGAACCTTATCATTATTTCAACTCAAACATGAAATGCAACCTAAATAATGCAAAAGCACGAAAATCATACTTTGGCTGCGGAAGAAATCTTTCAAGAGGAAGAAGCTTCATTGGGTCAATATAGAACTTATCACCCTGTGAATACGAAGTGGCCACAATTCCTTCCATAACTTTGACCGAAAAGTACTGCAATTGCATCACAAGAAACCAAATTAAACATCCAAAACTATAAAACAAGCTACAAAGAGTTGGCATCATAAACAGTGCACAGGAGGACTCACGGATTCGTTGATTGGACCAAATATTTCATCAACTTTCCCAATCTGAGTCTTGTTCTGCAGATAGATTGCGGCATTAAAGTGGGGTATCTTCGGATTTGTGAGCTTTGTCACTGCCTCACCCTCACATGCATGAACAAATGTCGAAACCTCTGAAAAACAACAAAAAATCAATAAACCATCCAACGAGAAAAAGTAACAGAATTCAAAATCTACAAAACCGAGTGCAGCAACGTTCTAAGATTTTTACAGCCGACCCCACTTAGTGGGATAAGGCTTGGTCGTTGTTGTCGTCGCCTTTTGCAGAAACTGAGACATATGTCACCAACCCAGATTTCTATTTAACTTCTTAATTCCACAGCTGCTGAACACATTGTTTCGTGACATTTACAAAACAAAAAACTAAAAGAATAGGGTTTCGAAAACTCCACGGAAAAACCAAATTCCCCATTAAATAGAAGAACTACCAAAATGATTAACAAAAATGAGTTCGGAAAGAAAAATGAACAGACCTACGACTTCGGAAGGAGGGCCCTCATCGCGAAAGAAACCGCGACCACCACTATTAAAGCCGCGACCACCACCCCTATTAAAGCCGCGGCCACCACCACCACCACTACGACCGCGGGAGCCTCTGAAACTTCCGCCGCCTCTGGGAGGTCGCATGATGTTTGGGTGCTTAAGGAACGAGGAAGAGGAGCTCTGAGAGTGTTGGTTTCGGCCTCCAATACAATGAATGAGTGAAATGCCTTAGGGTTTAAGCATGTCTGTCTAGGGCTTTCATGCTCCGTCTTCAAATGACTAAAATACCCCTGCTTCAAGATGCGTCCGCGGGCTTGGGCCATATCACTCTGGACCGGGCCAAATTAGTAATTTCAAATAAAAAGATTACTTGAACGTTTTCTTTTAAGTTAATTATCAAATACTTTTATCCAATTAATTAGTGATTGACTAACCATACTCTTCATGCAGTCTCAGCACCACATGAGATGACAACGTGCTTTTAGCATCATAGCTAAGCGGTATATCAAAACAAATTTAGTATCTTAGATAATGTATTCATGATAATTCAAACTAGAATTCCAAAATCTTTATTTCTTCTTATAGTTTTACTAGACTAGCCCCTGGGGTTGTTAATGACACTACCTGAGAGGAAATAGGAGGGTCTGAACCCAAGAGCTGTAGGTTGAAAACAAATTTCCTAACCAGCACGACAATTCAATTTCGAAAATTTTTTCGTTGGCTAGATAGAGGTATTACAACATACGTATTATTATAAAAATATTTTGCCGCAATAGTAATTTGCTAATGAATTCAACTTTTGTTAATTTGTATTAGTCCCAAGATAGCAAATTTAGTAATTTCTAAAACCAATTTAAATCTTATCTCCTACCGTGGTGGAAAGATGTTGAGCCCTTGAATGACGACGTGAGTTCAAATTCGTCAATGATTAATCTAACAAATTCCTTCACCCTCTAGACCTCTAGCCCCATCATTAGCAAACTCCTTGATATAAATCCTCCATCCAAGTGAATCCCCAGGGTATGTTTCGGTGAGATACTTTCAAATTACATGGGACTCCCCCATCATCATCTTAAGGAGTAATTTGTAAATGACGCGTTTCAAGTAGTCATTTACAAATCCCTCCTTGTGTTTCCAAAATGCTCATTCGCAATATGCCAATATCGTCCTTCGCTTCGTTCAAGTCGCTCCTTGCATTGAATTCGGGTCATGCGCAGGAGAGAAACACTCATGATTCTGAATCTTTAGTAAGGTATGAAAATAATTTTGTAGCGATGCTAGCCCCTTTGTAAGTCCGGGAATGATGCCCGGAATCTCATTAACCGCTGCAAGTATTTCACCGGAAATTGTTTACAGATGGTGAGAAACTCAAATAACAACATCCATGAACGAGTACGCTAAGCTAATAACAACATCAAGATGAGAAAGGGTAACCTATGATCTGGAAAAAAGCATGAACCATGAATGAAAAGTCAGGTCATAAAACAGCAACATCCATGAACGAGTCCTCTAATTTGAAATTCTACCCCGAGAGTAGCAGGATATGATTCTCAAACGAATAAAAGTTTCTTTTCCGACATGGTTAAATCCGAAACAAGACTAACGTATAACACACGTGTAGTGAGGCATGCTTGGGGTGGACAAATAAGAGTGATTCAAAACAGAGAATACTTGCTTCATGTTAAAGAACAGAAGAGAGGTCCTACGGCTACGGAATTACCTGAACTGTGGCTAAGTAAACCTATGGTTTTGCATTTTATTATCGGCTTCCGCCAAAACGATAGTTCCATTCTGCCCCGAAAATAATAATACAACAGGGAAGACCAAATAATCTACTTACATGAAACTGATGAACATCAGTAGAGGCCCAAAAATTTCCACCAGAAGGATCCTACTATTGCCCAGATGACAGCATTAACAAGAGCCATTACAAAGCCAACTTTGAATACATCAGGAAGATCAACGTAACCAGCTGTTGGAAACAACAAACATCTTATCAGTCACCACACAAAACAGATACTGATAAAGACAATCCACTTTCTTTCATGTTCTTGCCTTCTGAGCGCTTTAGTGAAAAAAATAAAGAAGGTAGCGGGGTAGAGAGAGAGAGAGAGAGAGAGAGAGAGAGAGAGAGAGAGAGAGAGGTAATAAAAATATTTGAGGCTATCAAATTGTAAGCGAAAAATTTCAATGTCACCAACTTACACAGCACACCAAATTCATTTTGAAACCTCAGGCTAACACCTTCAAACTTTCCGTCCAGAAAAAGAAACCCAGTCTTTACACTAATGAAAAATCCTAAAAACTTGCCTCAAAAAGTAAAAAAATATCCCTGAAAGTGGGTCAGAGTGACGCACGTGCCATGTTTTGAATGGAGAACTTGACAGAGTGAGGTTGTCATGGGTTTTGAAAAATTAACGTGCCATATTTCTTAAATTTCATTTTCTGAGGTGACAATGAAATTTATAATTACAAACTTCAAGTGACATCTCGAAAATTTTCCCTAATTTTAAAGACCATAAAATAATAATAAATGAAGCAACTGTTATTGAAAAGGAAAACGAACACTATAGAAATGTAATTGTTTAGGGGAAAAAAAAAATCCAAACTTATGAAAGGGGTATTGGAAGGGAGCATACCTCCATAGTATACAGCAGCCTGACCACTGCTATAATGCGTTAAAGCCCCAAACAGACTTGTATTGTAAGCTAAAGCCAACGCTGCTAACACACCAGGTACCCCAGCTGCCAAGTTCATGGCAAGAAATGCAGAGTATAAAGCACCCACATGACCGGTTTGACTTGCAAAGAGGTAATGGATGAAGAAGTAAGCTGCCTGAAGAACGCCAAATGCAACTGGCCAGCTCAAAGAGTAAGACTGAAGCGTAGTGGCTACACAACCAGACATCCAATTTACAATACCAAGATTTGTCAACTGGCCAGCCATACCAACAAGAACAGAGAACCAAGCCAATGTATCCCATGCTGATTTTTCACTTAAACAGTCGTCCCAATCAAGGACTCCTAACAAAAGGAGTATAGATAAGCCAATCATTGCAGTTACAACACTTGCTATACCAAAAGCGTCTCTGCAAGCAAACAAAGAAACGAATTGGTGAATTAGAAGATTTAGAACCCTAGTAGAACAAAATGCATTCTCAGGGAAATCATGAACTGAACTTATACACACACACATGATGGGTTTGCTACTGTCAACCATCAATATAAGAATATATTGTAAAACTGTAGTCCATGGAAACATCCCATTACCCCAAGCAAAGTCTTATTCTTGGTGAAAAATATATCTGATTACCAAAAAGAAGGATATGCAATTATGATCTACTGGACACTGTAAAATTAATAGTAAATAGTCCAAAGCAAGATAAACTACTTACCCAAAGACCCACAAAGAGACAGCAAGAAGCATTGTACCAACCATAATGAATTCATTCTTTGTGATGGGACCCATATTCTCCAATTTCTTTGTAGCCATGGCAGGGGCATCAGGTGTGTCTTTGGTTTCTGGAGGAAATAGCTTGTATAAGACTAGCGGAGTAGCTAGAAGGCAGACAAATGCTGGTAAACTAGCAGCCATGAACCAAGAAACCCAAGGGCTTGGAATAATCACCCCAATTTCCTCAGCCAATTTGAGGCACAGCAAATTTTGAGCTGCAGCCGTTAAGAAAAGAGCACTAGAGTTACCAGATGACTGTCACCCATCACACAACACAGATGCATAAGTCACAAGATGACACAAATAACATATGCTACTAGAGTCAGCAAGGAAAGAATATATAACACAGTAATAGTTAATGCTGGATTAATTCACTAGGAAAAAAATTAAAAAGTGTAGTTTACGTACACTGGATCTCTTAATTAACACATGAGAGTTCCAACACTTTCTTTCAACAAACAATTGTACGGATAATAAGTTTGATTAGTTCAAGGATCTCTACTTAAAATTTAATAGAATCCACTGATGTGGGACAGAAGAGAACTACAAAGAGTTTTATGCTCTTCTTTGTACTTTGACTGACTACCGGAGAACATAAGCTTCTTGTATTCAAACAAACACACAGGACGAGAAATCCTCTTGTGTATGATTCAGCAACAACTAGAGTAAACGAGGCGCTGGTTGTTGAGGCGAAAGGCAGAACAACGAAAGAAAGTTCTCCTCTTGGTTAATTCAACAACATAGAGTGAAGGGCAGTTGTTTGTTTGTACGAAAAAGAAAAGGTTCTCTTCCTATCTAATTCAGCAGAAACTAAAGGCAAAGTGCAAAGAAAAGTTGAGACAATAACCCGCCACCCCCTCCTCCCACTTGTAGAACTCTAGTTTTCTTCTTCTTGCATGGTCGAGAGCATTTTGATTTCCGCATTCTCAGTACAGTTTTTGGTTTAAATTAATAGAACAACTGAATTAAGGATATTCAATGAGCAGATTAAGTAAAAGTGCAAAAGAAAACTCCTCCAAACTGAGTTCATCAAAGTCATATCATTCACAATATTACAGGTATCTAAAGAGGCAATCAACGAAAGACGTTATCGAGTCCGTACCCAAAATATGAAATACTGAAGAAAATCCACTAGCTAAGAATATAGAATTCATATATCTTCAAATACAAGGGAGGGACTGAAAGAGCAACAACCTGAAACTGAGACATAACCAGATAAGAACCGAGCTTTCGTTTGGAGGGGTCACCGGGTTTACTCCCGCCGGAGAGGGACAATGACTGGATAATTGGCAAGAAAACACCGCCAGCCCTGGCCGTGGTACTCGGCATTGCTGGAGCAATTAGTGCCTCGCTTAGTGTCAAGCCATAGGACAAACCCAGTGTGCTCTTCCCCAACCACTTGACAAAGTAGGTGGCAATCCGATCCCCCAAACCCGTCTTCACGAACCCGCGAGCGAAAAAGAAGGAAATGACAATTAACCAGATCACCTCATTCGTAAAAGCACCGAAGGCCGTCGGAAAAGACAGAGTTCCGGTCACAATGGAGGCGGTGAGGCCGAGAAAGGCCCAAGCACCAACGGGTAACGGGCTCAGAATCAGGCCGGCAATGGTGGATAGGAAAATGGCGAGCAATTGCCAGGCTTGTGGGGTGACTTCGACTGGTTTAGGGACGAAAAAGCGGACCGCAATGCCTACGGCGATGGAGATGAGGAAGGGGATGGGTTTGGCACCTTGAAGCGGCGGCGGTGGTGTGAGAGTGGTTCCGGGT